TGAGGTTGGTTAAATGCCAAGCGATGCTGAGGCCTCAACGCCATAAACATTATTTCTATTATATGACAAGATAAGAGGATACAATAAACCGCAAAGAAGAAAAAGCATTTTCTGGCCGCGTGAAAGTTCTGGGCTTGGTGTCTCTCGGACCCTGCCCGAGCACCACCTCAGCAGCATGAGTTTAAGGGGAATAAATTGTTAAATTAAGGGCAGGTTTAAAAAGCAAACGACTGTTTGAGGAAATGGCCTGTATAACTGTAGTGCTGGAATGAGGACCTAAGTGATGATTTGTGTCACTTATAAAAAGTGAAATGGTGCAGACTGGGGAGCTGGGGGCTAGGTAAAGCCTTGCTCCCAGTAGGATATATTCAACGTTACGGCACCTCCCATTAGTTTGGGCAACAGGAGTGGACAAAGCAGTTTTATTAATAAAGATGTTTTCCCGTTATGACATTTCATAAAACCTCAAGCATCCAACACTCTCAAAGCCTTCAGGAGGGGGGCAGAAGGGGCATAACTGTAGGAGGGGCAAATCTGTCCACCAACCAACACCTCCCGCTGCCAGCTTTGCCCTCCAAATCAGAGATCAAACACGTGACCACGTATTTAACACGCGGTTTTATAAGGAAGGAAACAGAGCCCGACTTTGAGCCGTTTCCCACTGCCACACCAAATTGCAGCAATCAAGTAGCAGAAGCGGCTCCCAAGCCCCAGCCTTTCTCCCCGACCTTTGCTCCAGATGCCTTAGACAGGATGGCCCAAAAGTGTCGTAATTACCTTGTATTAATGAGTCAGAGCTGTATCATTAGAGAGGCTTAGTTAATAGCTTTCAACGTTAACGGCAGCGCTCAAGTTCGCAGCTACCGCTCGGTTGCGCTAAGGCGGCGTTTCGTCACTTGGCGCGCTTTAAATGGGAGTAGAAGATTTTTAATACCGACGAGCAGGGCGCGCCACCCCCAGACATAGCGTCGCTTAACACAGCCGATAAAAGCTTTCCTCGAGGCGTAGTTCTACGCCTCCCGTAGACATCTCGGAGGCAGCGGCCAGCCGCGCGGGACGGGCACGCTCCTGCTGGAGAAGAGCTCCTCCATTGCTCGGCGGAGAGGGCCAGGGGAGAGGGGGTCCAGGAAAAAACGTGTCACCTGTCCTCCTGGAGAAGCAACCGGCTAAATGACCTTGGGAAGAATCTTTTTTAAAAGCAGTAGATGCGGCACATTTAGAAGTCAGCTGTGTCGCAGCAGACACGCTGCTGGGAAGCGATCGGCGTGCAGAATCCAAAAATAACAGCTGTTAAAGACCTAGCAACCAAAACATGTTTACGTACCCGCTGAAAGCCCACTAGTGGGGATTATATGGTGGGTATAGTGAGATCTCCTCATCTATTTTAGGCGAGCATTCCTGCTTCCCCCCTCCCCACTTCCCTGAAAAGTGAGCTTTGCAGCATTTTTCTATGCAGAAACAGTGAAGGAAAAGCAGGGGGAAGCGCATAAAGTGGGAAAGGACAGGGCTGGTACTAGCTACAAAGAGAAAGAACCAGCTAAAGGCTGAGAGAAGTTATACTGGGAAGCAAAAGATTTCTCCCTTTAGTCTAAAAGGGGAAAAGAATAAAAAAATAAAAATCACAACTGGCTTCACAGTGATCATCTCCAGGCTCCTGTTCAAATTTGCTTGGCTCTGCTCTCCCTTGTCCTTCTCCCGTGAGCTCCCGTGCTACTAGATGTCTCCATGCAACATTTGCAGGAGGCAGAGCACTAACTTTTGCGAGCGGAAGGAGGAGCAGACTGTTTGCCCCCACACCCTGCTCCCCCGGTTGTTAACGAAAGCCCGTCGCAGCCTGCTCAGTCCATCCCTCAAACAGGGAAAGACCCAAATAAGCAGCAATCTGCAGAGATACAAACATGCCAGGAGATCGGGCAAAGGCGTAGAGAGGAGAGAGCTCCCAAAGGGCTCAGCAAGCTGGACGTCGGCCTGAAACCGTCCACCCTGATAACCGAAGCAGCAACAAGGCCCCACAGCCACTGATACCCTTCCATTCAAAAGTTTTTCTTCCTAAACAAAATGCAGCCAAAGGTCTTGAAGAACCAGAAAAAAAGGCTGACTCCTGCAAGGAAGTCTTCCTCCCCAGTGCTGGCCACAATCCAGCTTGTCTCCAGGCTAGGAAAAAGCTTCCCATGCGCTAAGCGATAACATACCACTACCTGGGCTGGCACACGTGTGCCCTGGGGTGGAAAAATCTAATTGTTTTCCAAAAGCGCCAAACTCTGGATCCTGCTATCTCTCACAGGAGTTTAAGGCACTCGGCACCTTTAGGAAGGTCAGGCTGTTTCTGTGGTGGATTGGACCATCCCATTTTGTGTTTGAAGACAAGGGTCTCGATCTTGAAGGGAAGAATTCAGAGAGCCGCAGCCACCTCTGAGACTTAAGGCTTCCCTTTAACGACAGTTCATACGAATAAGCCGTTTTTGATGGGATGATCCCCAGGGGCGCGTCAGGGATCAAGGTTTAGTGCCAAAAGGCAACACAAGCTGCCGGGGAAACAACGCAGCACGCGCTTCAGAAGTTGAGGCCTGCGATTAGCCCCTCAACTTCAAATCTGGATTTATTTTTCACATTTGAAGCTACCACTGCATTACCCTGTCCCACTCATCGCCACGATCCCGTTTTACTCCACCGGCACCAGAAAGCACAGCCCGCTGAACATTTAATTTCAGCTAATGCTCCAAGATCTTTCCCAGATGGTCTGTATGGAGCTCGGGTACCACTGCACCTCCACAGTTGTACTGCTGCATTGTAGTGGCGAGCAGAATCTGTAAGAGATCTTAAACACCTTCATCGTGAAGCTGATGTAGAGAATAACGGACCAAAAAAAGAAAGAAAAAAACCACACACACCTAAGACACTGAGTTGCGACGAGATTCAGAGCGCCATATATTTAATTAGTCCAGGGAACTGTTAAGGGGTGACTTGATCATACACCTACAGACAACAGAAATTCGATAGGAGGGATCTGCTGTCTGAATACAAAAATCGAACATGATCCACAGCCTGGAAGCTGCAGCCGAACAGGTTTAGACTGGAAATGAGGCATAATTTTTCTTATCAACGAGAGCAATTAACTATTAGAACAACTTAACCAAGGGCTGTGGTGAATTTTCCATCACTGGAAATATTTTAAATCAAGCTTGGATCATCATTATTTAATACATGCTCTGGTTTAAACAGGTATTGAAGGACGTTCTAGGAAACTGTGCATGAGGTCAGGTTAGATCACAATGAATCATACCAGTATGAATTACCTGGATTCCAACATTTCAATATTAACATGAAGAATTGTCAGAATTACCCATAAGCAGCAGTCTGGAACAGTGAAAGGATGAAGCAACCACCTTTATATGTCATTTGTGGGAGATTGTGGGAGATTAAATTTAAATACATTGTTGTTTGCCTTAATTGCTTGTTTGAATCCGATTTTAAGGTTGTATGATTGAAGTCCTCACATCATTAAGTACTCAAATACAGCTAATACATTTTATAAATGACTTGCGCAATTTCACAGGCAAAGAAGTTCAAGATAAAAAGCAGCCTACCAAAAGGAGAAAAAAAAAAGAAGAAAAAAAGGAATATCACTTGCAAGTGGAGAGAAAATGCTTTGGCTGAGACCAAGACTAGAATGACCAAAAAGCTAAGAAGCCACAACCGTGTATTTTTAAGGAGCCCCAGTCCTCAAGAGTTTGCAGATGAGATTTTTGAGCCATTTCTGTGCCGTAAAAATGACTGCGTCACAGAATTCACATGCAGTCTCAGAGGACATGCCCCGAGGATGCAGAATTATCTTTAATTTCAATTGAGAGACCCACAGGAGGCATTAATATATTAAACACACTGAAGAATTTTATGCGTGTGGGGGGGGAGAACCCTGGGATCAGTTAGAGCTCCCAAATGCGTCACAGCCATAATAGTTTGGCAACCTATCGTCCAATGGCTGCAGCCAGGAAAACAAAGTGTGTGCGGATCACTTAATATCTAGTTAAAAGCCACAATTCCTCCTCCCTCCCTGGCAAGAGGCCTGTTAGCATTTTGAGGTTCAAACATTTCAGAACAGACAGAGCTAATTCTCCCAGGACTCTGTGCAGGCCTGGACTCCTGCAGAAGCCCCAGTTTCTAATAGCTGCCATTAAAAGAGCCCCAAGAGTAAAAGCACAATCCCCCCCCGCCTCGCTCCTCCCATTAATATTGTGTATAAGCTGCCAAGACGCTATGCCGTTGAGCACTGGGAAGGATGTAAAGTTCAGCTTTGGGAAAGCACAAATTCAATTAAAAAAAAAAAAAAAAAAAGAGAGAGAGAGCGCGCACGAGAGAAAAGGAAAAACATGCAATGGAAAGGTACCTTCCCAGGCAGGGAAGCCTACGAAAAAGGTCATACAACTGAAAAAGGGATGTGACGCAGTCAAAGCGACAATCGTTTGCCCTAGGAAAGCGAGCAAAAGTTCTGCAAGGCTGTAGCCAACTCTAGCACGTAGCCCATGGAAGAAAAATTCACAGTGGGTCTTCTTCGTAAGCCCAAAATAGACTGTGGCAGTTTGGGGTTCACATAACACAAACCATCAACTGTCACATTCTCAGCTGCTTTACAGAATATGCTATAGCAGCTAACTCATCCTGACAGAGAGCGAGTATCCGTCCTTTGGTTAAATAGCCTTGAAAGAAGATGAGCAACGTTATCAGAAAACATTAACAGAAGATCAGCATGTTTTCTCTGGGCCGTGTGGATATCATGGAAAACACCAGCAGAATAACAATACGGCACAAAGCACGGCAGATTTCATTACTTTGGAGTGCCGGCACTTGCTCATAACCTGGATTTACACACTGCAAATCCTCTGATCTGATTACCTCCAGTGATCACGTAAAACACCGGCTTTAAACTCTTTGCCTCAGTGATAAAACAGCCACTTTGATTCACAACGACACATTCACAATAAAGTATACTGTAAACGTACCTGTCCACAGCCGGGGGCATTGCACACAAACGGCCTGTCGTCTCCCATATTTCATGCAGCTGAGCTAAGCTGAGGAGAAAAAAAAAAGAGAGAGAGAGAACAGGAAATTGTTAAATAAGCTAAAAAAAATTAAAAAATAGCCAGAGCAGAAGCAGCTCTATACAGGAACGCAATTAATCAACGCTAGGCGTGCAGCGAAGGAGGATCTCTTTGTGCCCTAGATCACGATCAAGGATGAGAAATTAATTCAACCTCAGTCTAACTAAGACTTCAGGCGTCCCCGCCAATTTTTCATGTATAAAGAGAAGGGGCTGTACCATGGCTAGAAGGGCTCGTCGGGAACCGCAACAGTGAGACAGTGCGGTCCGATGGTTAGGAAAGGGATTATACCGCATCCAGGGTTCCTCTCCTAGGCCCACCACCAAGTCACCGTGGGGCTCTGGCAAATGACTTTCTACTCTCTGCATTGCTGTTCCGCCATCTGCAAAATGGGGACAACGCTCATATCTTACAAAACGATTGCCCGGTACAGTAAAAACCTACAAAACATCCCGTTATCCACAAATGGAGAGCGGTGAGGAAGGGCAAAGCCTGGTTTATCCTCCCTATTTCCAGTAGAAAGCACAGATACACAAGCAAAGATGGTGACAATCTACAGGAGGAAAAAAAAAAAAGTGCAAGCAAGAAGCGATCAAATAAATCCAAGTCCTCTCTACGTACAAGTTATATTTTCAATGGGAGAGAACTAAAATTTGTCATTTAATTAATTAAGGGATTATAGGAGTGGTGCTCCGTTTTACAAGGCAATAATCTGGCTCCCTAGTGGGTAAACTACAAGGCTGATGGCAGGGGTAGTTTATCACAGATTATAGCCAAGGATAACAAAACACTCAGTCCTATTATGCTACAAGTGAAGCTATTCTTATTAATAAAAAATAAGAGTAAATAAAGTAACCCCCACCACCTCAAATTCAAGAAATAATGGTTCCCTCCACCCACTGCTATTTTTATAGCAGGATTTTAAAAAGCTATAATAAAGCAAATGCTATCTCTTCAGGGGGTTTACTGTGCGAACATGTTCTGGCTGTTCACGTTGCTTCCAGCATCTTACTCCAAGTTCGGCACTTGGCTTCAGCGATGCACGTTGGCTTGCTACAGTCAAGAGCAGAAATGAAACCTGAACGTGGCCAAAACGCGTTCATGAAGACACAGACTCTTTTTTGCATTTCTAACCATTAACACACACACCCACCAGCAGCAGTGAGAGGGTGGAGAAACTTGTTATTTTTAGGAGCTATATGAGAAAGCGCTCTAAGAATACAACTTACTGGCACAGGGCAGGTGCCTATGCTACAGAAGAGTCCCCCTTTGCTTTTATTCAAAAGACGTGGAAATCGATTCTTTCTTAATTCGAGAAAAGAGTATTTTCCTACAGGCATGTACTAGGGCAGCGTGCAGCTAAAACGGGTGGCTGCAAGAGGTGAAATTCCCCTCCCCGCATGCTGGTTCAGCCACGGCACAAGATGGCACCAAGCAAAAGCTACAAGAAAATAGCTGCCAGTTCTTCTCCCTCAAAAAGGAGGGAGATGCCCACGTCTGGATTTATTAAGCAAAACTCCAGGGCCTGTGCAAACACCAACTCACAAAGGATAAATAGCCCTCTCACAAATGGAACGGCGAGCAGCCAGGATGCTCCCTCGCATAGGAATAAATGCGATGAAGGTGGCCGGGAACGGCGGCCGCCCAGGAAAATCCAGAGAAGTGAGATGAGTCTTGCAGCGCTAAAGGGTGACAAGGCAAAAGGAGACGGCGGAAGCTCTGTATTGCAAGATTAAATCCCAGCGAAGGCTAGCCTTGAGGTGACAGAGGCGCAGATGACAGCAAGAGGAGTCCAAACAAGCACGTGCTAAAACAGGTCTCTTCATAACATCCTCCTACAAACTTCCATCTGAAGCTCGTAAAGTGGACAGGAGAAATAAAAATATTGAGCATGTTTCTTCTCAGAAGGAAATCAACCATTGCTTCTGCCTGCTAAAGAAATGGTGATCTCACCTCCGCCTTTCCACAATCAAGTAGATCCTCTTTGCGAGAGGGATCTCATTCAGGCCCTGAAGTAGCTGACACTCGGGCATCAGCTTGGGGACATGCAAGCAGTTGTCACCCATGATCTGCTCTGAAGGCACAGAAAAGCCAGGCTTCCTCCAGATCTTTTAACACGTAAAAGGAGTTTCTAGCAAGGAGGGATGAAGAGGTCAAACCTTGTAATATCAAGTCCCTGACACTGCAGAGGAGGGAAGCACAGAGCTTGTTAAACATCATCAGATCCACTTGAGCTCCAAAAATACAGCATCAAAACCTTCCAGTGAGCCGCACAAGAAGCTACAACTCTGAATGAGTCAAGAGAGAGGGTTTAATCCTTGATCACCCGCTCCCGGCAGAGGACAGCCCAACTACCGCTCTTTCTATAAGAAGAGAATGACACAAGTTGGATTAAACACGACAGATATCAACTCTAGGACTGCTAGAGTTATTTTACCGTCGTGACCGGTAAGACCACGGTACCAGGACACAGATCAAATAAAGGTCTAAAAATGACTACCTTGGGCAACCTGCATTTTTTTTCCCCTCCCAGCAGTCAGAATGCATTTAGTCTTACTGTGTGCCTATCCTTCCTCACCTCTTCTTTGCATTCTTAGGGGCTTATGGGTCAACATTTGAACAGCACCCTCAAAATGTAAATGGCAACGTGAACGACCATCCTCAGAGCTGGCAAACAAAGCACGTGCCACATGAGAGCCTGGCAGCTCTTCTGGGACACCTCCCAGCCAGGTACCCCGGGGAACTGGTCTACGAAGGAGCTTGTGCCATCAGCGTTTAAAGCCTGCTCTCAAAACCCCCACAAAACCCAAAGTCCTCTGTCGGTCCAGCACCACAGCCAGCAACTGCTCCAGCAATTAAGTAGCTCCAAGTTAAGAGCCATCATACTGGGATGGCAGCACAGCTGCAAAACTTTAAAGGATGGTTGTTAACGCCTCTTGCTGTCCAAGTCAGCCCTGGTGTTGGAAGATCATTAAAATCACCCTAGTGCATTTAAACTCAGTTGCGTGGGGTATGAGGCTGGGGATGCATTTGTTTCATCAACAAACAAATCTTACTGTTAAATACACAGCATAATTATTATTGAGGGAAGACTGCTGTATTTCACAGGGCAGCCACCCCATGTTTAACTAACACGGGTCAAAGATCTGTCCTTACCGCTGTCACTTAAGCGGCCCGCTGCCTTCACCGACATGACAAACTTTGGGGTCTCTCCACTTCATGCTTACGCGTCTGATGCGCATAAAAACTATTTGAGAAATTAAAGAAATGGTTCAGCTGTCACTCCCGAGGCTTTGACAGTGCTAACTGAAATAGAGAGCAGGAAAACAAAACAAAAAGCCAATGGCATTTCAGGTTGTCTGCCAGCTACTTCTGATAGCATAACAAGCAGCTCTGTTAAAAAAAAAAAAAAAAAAATTTGGGACTAACACACTTGAAAGACCTCAGTTTACTTGGTCTTGCAAAAGTGTCAGGAGGATTCAGTCATTCTTTAAAGGAAGATTTAGCTGCTCGTTCACTACAGAATATGACCAGTATGTACATACATGTGCTCAGATTTATATCACATTTAGTCAGGATAAATTGCTTCAATAAATTCTATTCTTAAGGATAGACAGAATAAGCAGATGATTGGATACTGGGAACACATTCTCATTCCTCTTCCTGCAGCCGCGGGACAGTATTTCACTGTTTTGATGATTTTTAGCATGTTGGAAACAGCAAAGGGAAGCAAAGAAATGCAGACAGATTACTGTAGCGTGCTTCAAAGTTCTGTCTGGGCAGACCTGACAAGCAGCTGCCGTCTCATGGAAAACTGAATTTTCAACCAAAATAAACTGCTCCCCAAACCTTTATGCGTTTCTGTCTCTCTTCCTCTATTAACTGACACTATATTTGCACGCAGATAAC